TCTTAGTGCCCAGGCTGGAGTGAAACGGCGCAATCTTGGCTCACTGCAACCTCCACCTCACAGGTTCAAGCCATTCTCCTGCCTCAGCCTCCCAAGTAGCCAGGATTACAGGCACCTGCCACTACACCTGGCTAATGTTTTGTATTTTTAGGAGAGATGGGGTTTCACCATGTTGGCCAGGCTGGTCTCAAACTACTGACCTCAGTTGATCTACCTGCCTTGGCCTCCCAAAGTGCTGTGACTACAGGCGTGAGCCACTGCACCCACTTTTACTTTTTAAATGGTCAGTTTTGGGCAGGAGGTAGGTCCCAACTGAAGACAGTGTGAGGGCCTGACCTCTGAAGCTTCAAGTCCAGCTGAGATGCCCAGGGGTGTCCACAGATAGAAAACAGTTAAGGGTTCTTAGTTTCTGATTTTGGTTGAGCCAGTAACGGCCCTTCCTCACCCCTTTTCTGCTTAACACGAGACAGAAATGGAAACCATAGCTTCAGGCTGCTCAATGCCTAAACAGAGCAGAACAACAACAAAATTAGGCAGGTTGGACAAGCTTGCCCTAGAGGGTGACCGTGGACAGGGAAGGGCCTTCCAGGCACTCGAACGTTTAGAGGATGCGGAAGGTGGGCGACCTAGCAAGGAAACGGAAAAGAAGGGCGAATGGGCAGCCTGGAAGCTGAGGGAAGAAAGTCTCGGGAGGAGCCGAGGCAGTGCTGCTGATGGCCAAGGAAGACGAGGGCTGAGAACAGACACTCGCATTTGGCAGTTGGTGGCTAGCAGTCACTTGAAAAAGGTGACCTCAGAGGTAAGAACTGCTTATCACTGCAATTCTTCACATTTGCCACAACTGTAATTATGTGTAGAGTTATTTGTTTAAATCTGTCCTTCCTTGACGCATGGTAAATTCCAAGGAAGACAAGGGCCACGGAAGTCTTGTCCTTCATTGTAAATATCAGGATGGATCTACTTAGAGGCTCAAATCTGTGAAATAAACAAAAGACCATAGACTCCAAGAAAGAAGGCTCCCCTTTATTCACAAGGCAGAGCAGCAACCAGAGGCCTGAAGGCAGCTCTCTCCGAATACATGCTCCCCGTCTTTATTCACAGGAACTTCAGTTCGCCAGCTACCACTGGAATTTGTCTGGTCAGTGTGCTTTGGGCCCTTTATTTAACCTGCTACGGCAAACACGGCTATTTTCCTTCCAATAGCTGACATTCTCTTCCTGCACACCAATAGTTCTTACATTTTAGCATGCATTAGAATGAGCTATGGCTTCTGCTAAAACAAATCTTGTTGGGCCCCAGCCCCAGAATTTGTTTCAATGTGTCTGGGGGAGGCCTGAGAACTTGTATTTCTAACAGATCCCTGGGTGGTGCTGACGTGACCCCACCATGGGAGCCACTGTTGTCTTGTTATTCTCCTACCCATGGTCACTTCTGTTTCCCCTTTTAAGAAAATCTCTCTCAAACCACAATCGAGGTTAACAAAAAATATGACTTAATTTTCAAAATGGTTGTGAAATTTGAAAAGGTAACTAAAAGTTAACATTTCAATATTTCCCCAAAATAGTAATATATAAGGCCCAAGCCAAGAGAATGCGGCCCAGTTAGAATAAAATCGATGCACTGGACACATGTCTTGGGCAAACCATGTATGGGACCGACACCACAAATCGGACCGACTGATGAACTAAAAAGTCAAGACATCCTTAACTAATAATGCAGGGCGACTCACTGTGTTCAACCCTGCGTAAAAACACACACATATCCCTTAATGTATAACAATTAAGCAAGTAGATACCATCCCTGTTTAGCAGATGGGGAAACTGAGAAGTAGTAATTGGCTCTACGACAAAGCCAGAAGCCAAACCCGAGCCTGTGAGTCCAAAGCTCCTGGCCAGTGTGCCCAGCTCCACCACAGGTGCCTTGAGGCAGGTCAACCCAACTGCTCTGGGGCTCCCGGTGCCCAGCATAGGACCTGGCCTCAACATGGTGCAGTGCTCGTTGACTAGGCAGACGAGGAACGCCCTCAAGAGCTCAGGCTCATTCTCTCACACTGTGTTCCGCTGTTCCATTTCCTGTTCAAGGCTGACTGGTCATAAGAAAGAAACAACAGTAGCAGCAAACACTTTCACAGCACTTTCTATGTTCACCACTATTCTGAGCCCGTGATGTGTGTTCACCCATTTAATCCTCACCACCTTGGCGGTAGGTGCTACTGTTCTCCATACTGTAGAGATGAGGAAAATCAGGCTCAGAAAGGTTAAGTAACTTGCCCCAAGTCACACAGCCAATTTGTAGTAGAGCTAGGACACAAACCCAGGCAGTCTAACTCCAGAGTCCATGCTCTTCTGTCACCATGTGATGCTGCTCTCTCAAGTAACAAGAAAAATTCCAGAGAGAGAAGGAAAAGGAATTTCGTCAACACTTTCTCTACACATCAGCTCTAGCTGGAGTATGGTCACCATCTTGGATCACAGGTCTAGGCTCTCACGGCCCCAGCACCTGCCTGTGTCACAGCAGGCTGTGTGAGCCAACACCCAGGACAACAGCCAGCCCCAGCCTGCAGCCCAGAGGCCTCCCCACAGTGGAGAGGCCCTGGCCCTGAGCCCCTCCCAAGCTTCACCAAGTCCCTTCGGTTGGGAGATGAGCCATGAGAGGGCCGGAGACAAGCAAGCAGGTCCCGGGCAGGGCTGAATGACTCGTGCAGGTAGGTTACATCTTTATTATTGATGATGGAAGCAGATGGTCCTCCTCGTGGTAATATTGTGTTACCACATAATGAGCTGGCCTAGTCATTCCAGTTCACAGAAAAAAAATCCTCTAAGGTCAAGAACATATCCATGCTCCCCTTAAA